CCGATTTTACCTAAGGAAGAAACGGAGGGTGTCCGTACCCGCAGTCAACGCCAGCATGAGACGGACCAGCGGAGATTTGGTGGTGCAACGGCGCAGATGTCGGAGGGCCAACTGCCAGCCACGGAGGCTGCGGGCCCGTCATTAGCTCCTACATCTGCAGCACCTGACTTAGGTGCTCTGATGGCGATGCTACAGGAGCAGCTGCAGCGCGGACGAGAGGAACAGGCCCGTCTGTTGAAAGAGCAGCAGGAGGAACAGGCTCGCCGACAGGAGGAACAGGCCCGCCGACAGGAGGAACAGGCCCGCCGACAGGAGGAACAGGTCCGTCAGTTGAAAGAGCAGCTGCAGAGCGGACGAGAGGAACAGGCCCGTCAGCAGGCGGAACAGGCTCGTCGGTCGGAAGAGCTGATGCTCCTCATGAAGGACATTCACGCTACCTTTGGGAAAGAGATAAGGGACGTGAAGGATAGGGTTGCTCAACACGACAACCGCCTGTCGGAAGCTGAAACCCGAATCGAAGAACATGAAACCCGAATCAACCATGTGAACAATCGGGTTGACAACGTGATGGCTGACGTGAAGAAAACGCTAAACGACCTCAAACTTGCGGATGGAACTACAGCTCCCGTAGTAGCTGCAGCACCTTCGCTACGTGGATTCAAAGTGCCGCCGTTCGACGGGACCTCTTCCTGGTCGGCCTACAAAATCCAGTTCGAGGCCGTCATGGAGGCGAACGGCTGGAATAAAAGCCAAGCCATGACTGCACTCACCCTAGGCCTGCGCGACCAAGCCTTAACTGTGTTGGAAGCTCTCGGTAAGAAAGTGACCTATGAACAGCTTCTTGAGGCCTTGGAAGCGAGATATGGCGACGCTCATCTGGAACACGTCTTTCGCGCGCAGCTTAAAGATCGCGTGCAGCGCAGCAACGAGAACCTGCAGCAGTGGGCCCTTGAGGTGGAGAAGATGGTTCGAAAAGCATACCAGTCTGTACCTGCGCTCATTGAAGGGAACCTGGTTCAGACATTCATCGACGGCATCCGCGACCTTGAAGTCAGAGCTGCTGTGAGACTTGGGCACCACGACACGCTTAAGAACGCCTTGGCCCATGCACTGGAGGTGGAAGCCGTGCGGCAGGATCATCGTTCCCATCGCGTCAGGGCGGTTGCGGCAGCTACAGTTCGCGACCGCAACAAAGGATACAGCCCTAGGTGCTATGGCTGCGGGGAAGAAGGCCATCTTCGAATCAGCTGCCCTAAGCGAACCGTGGAAAGGAGAGTTGATCGATCTCGAGAGGGTAGTGCAGCTAACGACACTGCCTGGCGGCGACAGGATCATCGTTCACCTCACGCTAAGGAGGTTACAGCAGTTACGGTTCGCGACCACAATAAAAGATACAGCCCTAGGTGCTATGGCTGTGGGGAAAGGGGCCATCTTCGGTCCAGCTGCCCTGAGCACACCCTACGAAGGGAAGGTGAACGGTCTCAGAAAGGAAGTGCGGCTAACAGCACCGCCCAGCAGCAGCAGGAATACGACTTCACTATCAGACACTGCAGCGGGAAATCTCACGGCAACGCAGATGCATTGACAAGAAGACCTTGTCCTGAAGATTGCAAACATTGTACTAGGCAAGAGAGTAAGGAAGTGGTATCCGTGAGGATGCTCAGGGCAGACCACCTCAGCAACGAGTGGAAGGACAGCTTACAACGTGCACAGCAGGAAGATCCGGACATCAAGCCGATCCTGGAATGGATGAAGGCCAGTGCTCCCAAGCCCAAGTGGAGCGACGTCTCAGCGATGAGTTCGACCACTAAAAGCTATTGGGCCCAGTGGGACAGCTTGTTGCTTCAGGATGGAGTTCTGTGCCGTAAATGGGAAAATGTTCGGGGAGACAGCTGTCATTTACAAATGGTTGTCCCTAAAGCTAAAGTACCGGATGTTCTACAGCTGTACCATAATTCAGGAGGCCATCTGGGAGTTACACGAACTCTACTGAAGATCCGAGAACGGTTTTACTGGGTCCACTGTCGAAACGATGTCGAGGACTGGTGTCGCAAATGTACAAGTTGTGCGGCTGTAAAGGGACCTCAGACTCGTAGTAGAGGTGCATTGAAGTTGTACAATGTTGGTGCACCATGGGAGAGAATAGCCATTGACGTGGCGGGGCCGTTTCCGGAGAGTGAAAGCGGTAACAAGTATTTCATGGTTGTGATGGATTACTTCACTAAGTGGCCAGAAGTCTTCGCCATTCCAAATCAAGAAGCTTCAACAGTTGCAGATAAACTAGTTCATGAAGTCTTCTGTCGTTTTGGAGTACCTTTAGAGATTCACAGCGATCAAGGAAGGAATTTTGAGTCTCAAATATTCCAGGAAACTTGCCGAGTCATGGGTACTCATAAAACAAGAACGACTTCTTATCACCCGCAATCTGATGGAATGGTGGAACGATTTAATCGGACATTGGAGAGGTACCTAGCAAAAGTTGTAGACAATCGGCAACGAGATTGGGACAAGCACATACAACCGTTTTTGTTGTCATATCGAAGTTCTGTTCACGAAAGTACAACAGTGACACCAGCTTTCGCAAACTTTGGAAGACAATTACGGTTGCCTGCAGACCTGATCACCGGGATACCACCTGATGCTCCACGCAGTATAACCGATTATGCAAATGACTTGCGGAAAAAAATGAATGACGTTTATGAGCACGTCAGACAATCGGGCCAGCAAATGTCTGAAAAGATGAAAACCCGGTATGACCGCAAAATGAACAACAAAGGGTTCGACGAAGGTTCACTTGTGTGGTTGCACAATCCAGTCCGCAGCAAAGGGAAATCTCCTAAGCTTCAAGCTAAATGGGACGGCCCGTACCGGATTGTAACCAAGATCAACGATGTGACCTACCGGATACAGAAAGGCGCAAGACGGACTCCTAAAATGTCCATGTGGATCGCTTGGCGCGTTATTATGGGACCGATAATGCTCGGGACGAGCATGTCTTAGGAGGGGGCAGTGTTGCATGAATAAGTCAACTAGCGCCATCTAGTGTCAGGAACGAGAGCGAGGGGAGCATTGAGAAAATGACATCACAAATTACTCAACCGACAGCGCCTAGTCGAAACTCGAACGCTCGGTACCTTGCGCGTGTTTACTTGAACATTCTGGATATTTCTTTGCTAATTTAAATATATAGGCGCTGCAAGATGCGATGGAGTAGTGTTGATTTGGCGAAACAAGCGAAGCTTCGGAGCGGAATAAAGTGAATTAGTGTGTTTAATTATTAGTGTTTTTAACTTTAAATTGTGTAAAGTAAATTAAAGTGTTAATTTAGGTAATTTTATCGGCAATTTTTATTGTCACGAACCTCAAGCTCGTAACAATATGTATCATGTTATTTTATTTTTGTATTGTATTATTTTATTTATTAAAGATAATTGATGGAATCAGGCGTTACTTTGCGGAAATCCATTATAATAAAAAATAAAAATATAAATTTCTTTGTAACCTTCCGCTAAATATATACAATGATGTGTTTTATGGATTGAAGAGCACCTCCCGCCCTCCCTCAATTGCATTCACTAACTCCGTCACCACTAGTCCCAGAAATTTATATTTTTATTTTTTATTATTAAAAGATGTTGTATGTAAGTACCCGGTTATATATTTATTATTCATTCTTTATTATATAGTAGACTTATAAGTATTTTTACTTAAATATATTCTATTTATTTGCATTTTGTTGTTTAAATTTATGAAGTGGTTGTTTACACCTGCCACAGGTAGAAAATGTCATAAGGCATTAAGTCCGCCCTTTATATACCTTATTATAAGGTATGTAAAAAGATTAAATAAATAAATACCCAAGAGAAATATGGGATGATTATGAACATATTGATGTACAATAATTTGAGATTGAGTAGTCGACCAGCAAACCAAATCCGAAGACATCATAGTTTGAATTATAATGTTAATTCTGTAAACTGAAGTAAATACTTGATAATATATAATAGATATAGTAAATACTTGACTGTTATGTTCTACGGAATAAGATTTGTGCAAATAAAACTCAAATATAATAGTTTTTTAATACTTTAAAAAATTACATAACAGTTTCACAGTGTAACGGCAGAGTTTACTCTGGTATTGACGAAAAATATGCATTACGCACTCGCTTGAACATTTTACTTTCAGCAAATTATATTAAAATTAACTCCTTAATCAAATACATTTAGTTAAACTTTTTATCTAATTAAAATTAGTGGTCTAGTTACAATTTATTTCCATCGTCAAATGTTATTTACCATAATTTAAATTTAATTTTAAAATTTCTTTGGTTTCACAAAAAATCATTAAAAATTGATGGTATTAGATTAGACGCATTTTTGTCCTTCTCCATAATACTCCGTACGAATTCGATGACATTCCACGAATTATTTTCGAATTTTTTGTCTAAGATTTCGGTGTTTTGAGTATTTTAAACTCTAAACTGTTAAACGGCTAACAAAACTTTACTTTAAATAAAATTAAGTTTACGAATTCTATCGCGTTTCATTTACACTTTTTAATTCCTGATGTTTCGGGTGCTTTGCGGGACCCGTCCTGTCCCTGCCGTGACCAAAACTCAAAATTAAACGCGATAAAATCCGTAAAATTAGTTTCATTTAGTGTCCATGTAAATATGAGAAGTCATTATGAAAACTTAACATTTTTATGTATGGTATAATGTAGACACAGGTATTATTAATATTTCCTAAATAATGTTTTATAGTTTTTCACACACTTATTTTTAGTACTATCTACCTAAAGTTTCTGAAATCTAATTAAATGAAATCGAACAAAATAATAAAAAAAAATATGTAAATCATATTCTATCGTTCACATGAGTATTATTATATTCTTAACTTCCAAATAAACTAATAAAGAAATCATATTTATCAATCATATGTATCTCACATAATGTATCTTAAATATCACCATTTTATTGTATAAATAATAATATAACGTTATGAGTGAATATGAATAGTCTTTTCATTTAGTTTATTTTCCCCATTTACATCTCTAGCTACACTGTATCCGTCAATAATCATTACAAGTGGCATCTTATTCTTTGTTGTATCGAATTGAATGCTAGACATTATTGCTTCATCTGTTCCACGAACTTTTTGATTTTCTGTGGTATATGTGCCATTTCTGTCAAGGAATCTTTTATTACTGGGGCCATTGAACTTGACATTGAAGTGGCTTTCTTCATCATTTTTGTAGGCAAGAGTTGGTTTTGTGATTTCATGGGTCTCACCTTGGATTGTATATCGTCGTAGTCCTGGATCAATGTCTGATATAGATACTGCGTTCTCTGTTTTGTATCTTCTAGCTTTGAGTTTATTTTCTCCTTTATATGTAACGTTGTGTCCTCTAGGTTTTTCAAAGGCATTTTTTTCTGTCGTGAATATGATAGTCTGAGCGGTTGATCCTCTAACTTCTGAATATCGGGTATTGTTTCCATTTCGGGAAATTCTTCGAATGGATCCATTGCTGTTTGAATCGTTTCGTGGAGTACTATTGGAATATTCTTCATAATATTGTGAAATGGTTGCATTTTCTGCGCTTCCGGCATTATGCTCATTATCTCCATTATTCCTGGAGATATATCTTTCAACGCTCCTGTAATTTGTGGCGCTGCTTCCCTTACGGATTCCATTATCGTCTCTCCTACTGCCAGTGGGATTTCTTGTAAATAGTAGGGGTATGTCCGTATTCCATTTGAAACCATTGATGTGACTATTGGTAGTATAATAGGGCGGGGCGGTGGTAGTATCGGTAGGGGCGATAGCCTTGAAGACATTCGAGATCTCAGTGGTGAAAGTCGAGATAGGAGCAGTTGTCGTTTGTTTCGATGTAAGCCTTCTGAAGGCTCTATTTGGTTTGATTGAGCATGTACACTGAACATCGTCGTCTTCGGAATGTTGATAGTTCCTTTCGAATTTGTTTCTTGTAATTTCATAGGATTCGCTTGATCTTGTATGAAGAAAATTATCAAATAAAATGCTGAGACTTTTAAGAAGTGGAATATATTTACTATTGAATAATTCATTGCTATCTATTGCCCTTTTCGAAGTCTTATTTTTGCGTTTGTAGTGCAACTTTTGTTGCCTCTTCAGTCTTTGCGGTTTGATAGGTGTATTAATTTGGAATGTTTTTCTGTATTTAAGGGAAGATATTTTCTTGTTTTCTTGTAAAGAAGGTTCTGTGAATAAAATAAGATCAAGTGAATATTATTGATTAAGGTAAAAAATATTTAGCTTAGCGCGGCGAATTATTTTCTGCTTTAATATCCTCTAATCTTTGAGAAATATGTGCCTTGTCCCTAGCAACCGGAAGTAGGTATGTGGGCCGTTACTGTTAATTACGTTAAAGTCTAGAGAAACATCGAAAACAGGTTTTTGATTAAATAGGAATTTTCTATTAATATACGATATATAAAATACTTATTTCATTTGTAATAAGTATTTTATCTCTTATCCCAAAATCGCTATATATTAAATTTTGTAAAAAGAAAACATTAACATCTTTACATCCCCTCACGACATCACTGCTTAATGTAGGTCTCCCCTACGGAATGACACAAAACATGGCACCAAGCCATCTGCATGCATTGAGCCCCGTCATGTCTTATGGGCCGACCTATACTACGCGGTACGAGGCTGTCACTTGGAGACCTTTTTCCCATCGGTTGCCGGGTCTTTAGGCTAATTTGCTGTTCAATGACATTTTCAGCTTACTAATCTATTGGCATTTGTCGGGCATCCTTCTTGGGCATTTCCACGCAAAGAAATTCCGAGTATAGCTCTCTCCTCATACTGTGTGAACTTAAACTTCTTTTTAGGATTTTGAGGAAAACATAACGAGTAAATGTGTCGTAATTTGAACGGCACTCAAGAGGTTAGACTTACCTGGTCGGTCAATCTGTAATACTAGTCATCAACTTAGAGCGTCGTGTTTCAAAAAACTACCGTCTTAGGTATACACGGATGCAAGAAAGCGGCCAATGCGTTATTTTGATTTTTTTACATTAGATGCTGGCCAGTTGAAATTTATTTACAAAATACGGTTTTTCAGAAATAATTATCATATGTAACTTGGTGGAGCCACGCTGGAGCAAAATTAATTGTAGCACAGATGGGTCGGCTCGACTGGGGCAGGACCACGCTCTCACAGAATACCAACGTAAAATAGCAGCTGAAGGCTGCTGTGTTTCGTATGGTGAGTATTGAGAAATACGTGGTAGACGTGGTAGAGTCATGTTGCAGTTATATTAGATGTATAGTTGTAGCACGAATGGGTCGGCTCGACCGGGAAGGACCACGCTCTCACAGAATACCAGCGTGAAATAGTAACTTAATGCTGCTGTATTTCGTGTGGTGAGTGTAGAGAACCGGAGACCCATTTTACTGGAAACGAGGCATTCCATCTTAGTCTTCACAACGCATCTGCATTTTGATTCGTAATCGAGGATAGATGTAGATGTCTATAGGCCACAGCAACCACTTACTATCAGGTGGACTGTGTGCTCGTTTGTCACCCTATCCTATAAATTTTTTTTTCTTTGTCACTCTTTTCTACTTGAACAAACCACCAAAGCAACTTAATTCCGGTCACATCTTGCAAACCACACTTCTTTTCTCACAAAATTTCTCACCCTGTCATTCAGTTTTGGCTCTTAGCTATTGTATATAGAAGATAGGTTTTTATTACTTGACACAGGTAAAAGTACAACAGTACGAGTCCATCACCAAACAAAAAAAAACAATGATTGTTCTTATTTCAAATTTCCATCTACGTTCTTATATACGTATAATTTTATACGTGGTAGAAGCCTCGCTGCAGCTATATTATGGTTGTAGCACGAATAGGTCGGCTCGTCCGGAGAAGGACCATGCTCTCATGCGTAAAGTAGCAGCTTAATACTGCTGTGTTTCGTGTTCGTTTTTTACTGGAAACGAGGCATTACATCTTAGTCCTCAGGGGTGACAACGCATCTGCTTTTTGATTCTTAATCGAAGATAAATGTAGATGTCTATGGGCCACTGCATTCACTTACCATCGTTTATTCATTATTCTATAAAAAAAAAATTACGAGCTAAAGTGAAATGACGTATTTTTAAGGAAAAAACGGCACATTTTTGCGCGGCTACTTACTACGATTTAAAATGTCACCTTAAACCTGACGAATCGTTTGATAGACACGAAACCGTCTTCTTAGGCAATCGCATACTCCAAAATAAAAAAAAAATCAGCACGGTCGACTAACTTTGAGAGATGAAGAGTCACCCTTTACGGTTGTTAGGGAAACGTAATTTTCCTTTGTCTTTTAATGACCTCAGCGCACCGTTTCAGGGTGTATTTCACCATTCGGCAATCGTTGCCGAATGGAAAGTTAATTACAGTTATAAGATAAATACAAATAAATATTATTTTTTTAATTAAATAAATATAATACCTCTTGCTCGTGATGATCCTGGCTTAAGAGTAGACGCTGGCAACGATTTATGAAATGAACTAGGCAGCAGTATCTCGTCTGTAATAAATTACATTAAGTAATTAATTGAGATTAAATATGATTTGATCAATATAATATTTCAATAGGCAATTTAACATTAAAAACAGTTTATTCTATTTCCGAATATTTACTTTTATATTTTACAAATTTTATAAGTGTTGGAGCCATATTATGATACTAGTGAGTCGTCTAGACCGGGTAACCGTTTTTTCCGGGGGACCATGTTTTCTCAGTAATACCAGCGTGAAATAGTAGCTTAATTCTGTTGTGTTTAGGGTGGTGAGTGCAGAGAACCGTATTACCCTTTTTACGAGGATAGATGTAGGTGTATGTGGGCTATAGCATCCATTCACCATTAGTGGACTGTGTGGTTATTCTGTATAAAAAACAATAATAATGGTTGATGAAGTTATTTTCTTCATAGGTATTATTCTCAATAGATATTTGTGCCACACTTACTATTCGTCTAACTACACTACTAACCTGCTCCTACCAGCTTTACTGCTCTATTTAAATCAACAATGATTTCACTTTAAGTAAGCTTCTATGCCTCTGGCAATAATGAATAGAATAATTGGGTATAGCTATTAGTAGGACATTTAATGAATAGAGTTCATTGTTTGTGGGAGAAATTTAACTGCTTTAAGGCAATTCTTCGCTTTGGAATAAGATAATCTAACGATATCACTATTAACATCTGTGCTTAATGCTCGTGCATCGCTATGTTTGTTACGAACTCTGTAACATTTTTAGAGGACATACCATTGATAAATAAAAATTCGCGAGAACGAAATCAGTACGGTACTAGTATAATAATCCAGAACGGTTATATATTGAAAAACCTAATAACGACCTACCTAATAAGGACTTGAACCCGGTATCTCATGATATAAAGGCAGTCAACTTTTTAGTAGAATTAAAGTAATGAAACGATTTAATGAGATATACATAAGAGATGCCTCGTTATAATAAAGTCCATTCACTTTCCTCAATGACGTCTCTTCTTAATAATTTTCTAGAATGGATAGTGAGTTTTGTACGGTAGGCAGTACCTACCATTGCTCTCGACGCGACGTTTAATTCTTCTATTCACTACTACTTATGCAAATAAAGTGGAAATATCTTCAAAGGTTAAGTTGACTATTGTGAATGACGCGCTTAGTATGATTTTCGACCGATTTTACCCTACTGTTTCATAAGCCACCGAAATGAGTAGAGTACGCAAGAATAACAAATCAGACAGAGGTTTTTGTTTTGTCTGTTTAAACCCCCTATTTCTTTTGCAAAGGCTATGAAATTTTTGCATATCGGGCGTGACGTCGACCGAAATTATTCCTGTAGCCGTTTTGCGAACGGGTTATTCCCGGTCTGGTCACGGATCATCTGAGAGGACTGGGACTCGGTGGCGGTCCGCTTCGGGTTCAAATCGCATCATTCTTCTTTCCCTTTTCTCCTAACCCTCAGCCGTTTGTCTCCACTGCTGAGGGCTTGCGTATGATTGAGTTTCATTAATTAATTAATAAATTTGACTATATTTGACTAAGTATATACAACATATTTTATTTTATCATTTTACTTTTATTTTTTAATTTTAAATACTAAAAAATATTAAAAGTCCAAAATGTTAAAAGTGTTTAGTTTTGCATACGATTTTTTATATTCAATAACGATCGTAAGATAATATGAGACGAAATATGTTTCTGTTGTACCAAATTAATTTTGCTATTCCGTGTTTAAATAATACACTTGACCTTATAGCGATACCTGCTGACTTAGATCGAGGCGTCGTTTCCGAAGATTGCTTTCCTCGCACTTCTACGGCAATGGCCTCGTTTAAAGAAAATGGTTTCGCTAGCAAATCTGCGAAAAAATAAATAAGCACGATGTACTACTTCCTGTTTAGAATTAATACATTAGAATAAAACTTAACTTATTTTAAGGATATTTTCCGTGACTTTTTACACAAATTATTGATGGAATCTCTGGCATTGATTATATACCTATATAATCAGCCTCGGGAATTCCACATACAATATATGATATACTTATGGCTTAAAGTAATAATGTTCAATACACAGATGTTTCTAAGTCTATCGTGGTATTTCAGGGGTTGGGCAACACGCGAGTTACCGGAGTATGCTATATTTTGATATATTACCTCTTATAGTCTTTGAAAGCGTTGTGCTTCAGAACACTCAAAGATTACAAAGGTAAAATAACAGCATTATGCTTCCGTGTTTTGAATGGTAAGTGACATGAAGACGTTTTTAGGTACTATAACGAGGCATTTCATGTTGGGGTAAAACATCAGTATTTTAATTCTAAGTCGATTATAGTAGAGGCTCAGGTCCACAGCATCAATTTAGCTTCAGGTGGACTGTGTGATCGATTGTCATCTTTCTTATATAACAGAAAATTAAATCGGATTCAAGTGTTTTAAGTATATCGAGTAAATCAAATAGTATAGAGTAGTATATTAGTCCCACTGTGAAAGCGTACTATTTAATATAAGCTATATAATAAAAAATAGTTTAATTCAAACATAATTATAAACGGTTTCTTCTTTAAGTCGGAAAAAAACTATAGTAATTTTATCCGACTTAAATAAAAAATAAGATTATAATTTGGTTATCATTCTTCTTTCCTATAATTTTTATAAAAATTAACATGTCTTTTGACCTTGTAGGTGAATTAGCTATAAAATATAGTAAGTAATACATATAATAACATTATAGAAATGTCAATTTTTGCTTCGAAGTCCTACTTCTATTTTTAATTTCTATAAAACAAACCCAATATTGACATGGAAAATACAAATGAAGATAAATTTATATCTGCGTATATATTGAATTCTAACATTCATTACTTGATTTCAGCATTTATTAGAATTCTATACTAAAAGGGCATAAACGAAAGCCTATTAAAATTTTTTTCATGGGTGTTATAGTGTAATATGAACATGAAAATAAACAATTGGATTAATATAGCGGTAGCTTTGAATGCAACTGATCGATGCTGCAACTTATCCAGAAATCATTTTGTCCAAATTACAAAACTCGCCTATGCTCGACTCGACTAGAGAAGAAGAGTTTAAAAATTACCTCATCTTAAATCACATTAGTTACATCACAAAGATGAGCAAAATGCGTGTGGTTTTCGGAATAGCATAATATTTATAATCTAATGTAATGTATGAGCTGTGATTGTAGTAAGCATCTTATGTAGAAATAATTATCAATTAAATGCGATCATGTCAAAGTAAGAAAAAAGTGGTCACGTTCACGGCATATTAACATAATAAGTATATTTTTCAGTACGGTTGACTTGCTTTATTTCAATTCTACATTGTTAGAAATGACAAGGCAGTTCATAACAAACATTTTAAAATGTTGTCCTTCATTATTTCATGGATTGAGCATCAAAAAAATAATTTTTCAATCTAGTGTATAATTATAGTGCAGTTAAATACATGGTCTTTGAATAGTAAGTAAATGCAGATACGAAGCTTCTTTTAGTGACAAAATTATTGTACACCTAAGTGTGTGTCCTGGCTTCCGAGGCCATCATTTTGTCCAAAAATTAATTGCGAACATTCAGCAACGTTGAGTATGTACCGTTGAAGTATTGCGAAAGACACAGTGTCACTGTTGTTATTAAAATCGGTATCTTAATAATAATTAAGAAGCGACAGTAGCCTAATGGCAGGGCACGGACCGCGAACTCAAAAAGGTCGTGGGTTCGAATCCGCAATTCGACTACTGGCGTGAACCACTCGTAACACAAGCAATTTAAGCTTACCACGAGTGGTTAAGGGGAATATTAGTAATGTTTATATCATTGTAAATATTCTTTAAAAAAATAATTTTTTTTTAATAAAGAATATGATTTACGAGACGTTGTATGTTTGTTGTACTTTTGCCCGCTATAATTAATTTAGTTTGCCCATTAACATTTAATGACAAGAAAACGTTCGAAAGGCTTTAATTCCGCTTCAAGTCGTGCAATATTGTATCATTTTATATTGAAGAGAATGCAATAAATAATAAATAAATTATTCTATCTGTTAGCTTAATCGAAAAATAAAATAAAATAAAAATCTGTCTGTAAGTTTTAACTCAAAACTAACTAGATTATAACTCAACCACATGAACCACTCGTAACACAAGCAATTTAAGCTTACCACGGGTGGTTAAGGGGAATATTAGTAATGTTTATAGCATTGTTAATATTCTTTAAAAAAAATTAATAAAGAATATGATTTACGAGACGTTGTATGTTTGTTGTACTTTTGCCCACTATAATTAATTTAGTTTGCTCATTAATATTTAATGACAAGAAAACGTTCGAAAGGCTTTAATTCCGCTTCAAGTCGCGCAATATTGTATCATTTTATATTGAAGAGAATGCAATAAATAATAAATAAATTATTCTATCTGTTAGCTTAATCGAAAAATAAAATAAAATAAAAATCTGTCTGTAAGTTTTAACTCAAAACTAACTAGATTATAACTCAACCACATATTGGAAGCTTTATCTAGTTTAAAGCTAGAAATACTGGATCTTCCTCCACTAAACTTCATTCATAGCTTAGAAATAGCTTGACCTTTCCCTTGATTCTCGAATACCCACTCAGAAAATGGAATAAATTACACACACTGTAGAACCATTGGTAACTATTTAATAGTTCATCGTAACATACCTACTAGACTCCTAGTTAGAAGGTGCCTCCTGATAGTGGAGTGTATAATACTTTGAACTACATGTAATACAAGAATAGAAAATTATGAATTCAAATAAAATGCCGACAAAAATAGAAGTCGTAAATTCATAAAAATCTAAATTTTTAATAAAATATATCTTTATTAGTATTTCCGTTTCGTTTTAGAAGTCTCTTTTTTCAGATTAAATACTTTTGAATAAAAATATAGTTCTGGGGGCACTTACCATAAACAAAGTACAAACAATCTAAGTTCAATCACTGCCACTGTGCTGATTTGCAATGTGCTTGGTGGTGCGGTTATCCAGGTTCGATCTCCACAGGCATCAATGAAATGGTAAATAGCCATTTTAAAAGCTGATTTACCACGTCTAGGATGTGGTAAATCAGCCGTGAAGGAAAACTTTGTGAGGAAATCTTCATATCATAAAATACGATTTACGAAAAAAATTTACAAGACATGTGAAGTCCGCCACCACACATTGGAGTACCGCAGTGGACATTTCCATGCCGTAAAACCCTCTCAGAAATGAGGGCAGACCTATGGCCAGCCGTGGGACATTTATAGGCTTTAACTAACTAACTACAAAATTAAATAATTTAAAATTATAAATAATAAACAACTAACACAATATTTATGTCACGATTCCCGATATTTTCTTTTCGGCATGAAAATGAACAAAGGAAGCGATGAGCTGTGAAATTGTGACTGACAGATATTTTGAGCCTTGAGAATTTCCTTTTGTCACTTCGAAAAATGTCTAAAGAGAACTGGGATTACGCTTGACAGCGAACACTCCATTAACCCGTCACCTTTAAACCATAAAAAGGAAAGTAAGCTATGTTTATACTCACGCGGGATAAATATAACGCAATTAATCACAACGCAGTAATGTCTTAAACGTATTTCCATTTTCTAACATTTTCGTTTAGAAATGAGACACGACACGTTTCGTTAATAAAGCAAAACTCTTGGATCGTGTTGTTTTTATATTTAAATAGCCTTTGAAATTATGCAATTCTGCCAGTTTCGTGTTATTATTATTATACATTATGAGACATCATTCTTATGTCTTTAATTTTAGACACGCGACAAAAGCATTAATTTATTACTAGCAACCCAACCCGTTTACGCCGAGATAGGATCCTTTAACACATTCACTGTCCGATTTTCAGACACAATAGTAAGACAATAGCAATGTATTATATTATGTAATACACGGGAAAGCGAAAGGGTTAATGTTGGGTTTATTTAGATTTAATATAATCAGGGAACATTTAAACATCTCAAGTTTTACGGACTGAATATAATAAAGATATTAGTAGTTAATTTGTAATTCAA